TGTTCGCCCTGAAAGTGGGCTGCAGTGGAGGAAGAGCAATAGACGAACAGTCTCTGTTTGAGTCTCTCCAGAGGATAGAGTCACACCAGCTGTCTCCTCCTCCTCCTCCTCCTCCTCCTCCTCCTCCTTCTGTTGCCGATGATGATGATGATGCTCAGGTGGGGATTGGAACTGCAGCGCACAGGAAAGACTGGTTTGAGCTGTCCCAGAAACTCTGCCAAAGTAAGTCGCATCAAATTCAAATGAAAACACATCTAAATTAGCAAAACATTTGCAATCCGAGTGGATTCTGATTAAACCGGCAACTGTGTAACACTCAATCTACTTTGTTTTAATGTTTTAATGTTGCTTACAAAAGGAGGCAGCGAGGAGCCAAAATCTACTATTAATTAGACTAACTTATCTAAGCCCAAGCTGACTTTACGAAGCAAGCTTGTATTCAAAAAACTCCATCAAGACTTCTTTCACACTTGTTTTTTTCAGGCAAAGTGAATAGAAAAAACCTGAACATAATCGAGTCCAGTTTCGCGCTGGTTTGTCTCGACACAGAAGAACCTTCATCAGGCCAGATTGGAACAGGGGTCAACAGAGGTCACAGTGAGAGCACTTTGAGACAGTTGCTGTTGGGAGGAGGGGACAAAAATGTTGCCAACAGGTGGTACGACAAAGCACTACAGGTTGGAGAACAAGGCTGTCGAATCAAATTGGCCACAAGCCTATCAGTTATTAAGTTATGTTTGTGAATCTGTTCATCTATCTAAGCTCACTAAATAGTGAGTTTCTAAAATTCTAAGACTAATGTTTTTGAGCTTTTTCGAAGATTTGAATTTTGAAATTCTTGAAAAGTCTACTTTTGAAAAAGAACCGAAACTGTTTTTAAAAAGACTGGCAGCAAAAACTATCCTCGCAAGCTTGCTTGTATTATGAACCAGTTTGAAGATTAGCTCTTCTCTAAATTCGTCCAGAAAGCAAAAACTTTAAATCATTTTTCTCAGCACTAAAAAAAACGTTTCATGACATTTGAGTTATAACCGATGGTCTTAACTCATAGAGTAATTTCGGATAGGGTAAACCGTCTGCTCGTCACGCTATCTTATTTTCGGCCGGATAGATTCGTGCAACTTCTTAGTCTAATACCGATCCTAATCTTACTCTTATACTATTCTAGTCTCAGGTTGTTTAACTAGTCTCTGCTAGGCTCAATAGATCTAGGGTATACTGGTTTATTGCGGCTGCTGAAGTTCTCTTGGAGAGGCAACTAATTTCTAAGTTAAATTCAAATCTCTCTGGTGCTGAAATTACAAGTAATTTCAGCACTTACAAATAAGTGGGTTGTTAGTTAGATGGATCATGATTGGTTAATATTAAATACTTTACAGTGGTAAAATATCTAATTTATCCAATCATAAAATGTAGTTTAGATCAGGTTCCACCCATCCGGGTTTTACAGAGTTTTTTAGAATAGTTTTTCTGCAATTCAAAGGATGGATGATGGACGTTGGTATTTGGCGAACATCATATTTCTTCTGGGTTCTCCTGTTAGAGAAGTTCCAGGATCAATCGTTGTGTCTTCTTATGACAACGACTGGGTTTTCTCAACAAACTCAAATCTGATTTCAGAATGGTTTGTTATGACAGGTTTTTCTGTTTCATGTAGAGAACTTCTTTTGTGTTCAACCTAGTCTGGGAATGGCGTGGAGATTGTGCGTGGAGGGGATGCCTGGTTACTCGGATCTGTACGTATACTTGAACATCGAGGTGGTCATTGGTCTAGTTCAATGAAGTCCTTTTCTGCGAAGTCAAGTCGTACTCTAAATCCTTTGAGTTGTGATTGTGGACGGCATATTGATTGTGGTTGGCCATTCTTTTTCGAGTGTAGTGGGGTCCTTTTGTCTTTGGATGTTCGTCTTTGGTGTTGTATGCTGATCTATATACTGCAAGGTATAATTTACATTTTATAAAATTTTTATTAGTTCGGTGTTTTAATTATGATTTTGGTAAGTTGTTTTCACAAAAGCTTTTTGTTTTAGTTCGGTTATTTTGAAGAGTTACTCACCCTTGAGTACCTCTTATTAAAAATAGAAGTGTGGTCACAAAGCGTGGATGTAGCGCGGTGGGTTAGGCCGGCTATAGAGCATGCTCAGGACGTCCTCTCTGGTGGGTTAGGCCAGGGTTAGGGTTAGGGTTAGGGTTATTTCAAATTTATTAGTGAAGAATATGATAAATTATACTTACCTGTTAGTCGTCGGGGAAAAAACCGTGGGGGAAGATGTCGTTGATTATGTCGGAATTTGTTAGTAACTTTGCTAATATGCGAATGATGTTTTTAGTTTGAAGCAGTGGCCAAAGCATTTGAAGTGCTTTAATGGTTTTTAGTTCTTCAGTGCCAACTGTAAAATCATAAGGTTTGTTTTGGATGAGATTATATAATTTGTGGTTATATTTAGTGTTGTGGATGAATTCTAATATGGGGATTTCTATAGGTTGAACAAATTCATGTGGGATAAGGAAGGTTCTGGATTCTTCTGCGTTGAAGGTCTTTGTGATGTGACAAAAAATATACATTTGGGTTATGGGATCATAATTGCGAAGAATACCGTGAAGGTTAGTATCTTTGATGCAATAAGTGAAGTTTAGAAAAAATGGTGATGTGTATTTAGAGTTAATAAATTGAAAACGATGGTGTGGTTGTCTTGATGGAGTGTGCAGGTCAAAGTGATTTTGTATAAAGCGGTAATATGTATATGTGTGGGTTTGTTTAGTGCGTAACATAATGTCGTGTGAGCAGTGCAAATCTCGTTCATGTGGTGCAAGGAAATGAAAGGTTAGTGAAAATAAATGAAATCTTTCTTTAAAACTTTCGTAAGCTTGTGTGTCGGTTAGTGCTTCAGAAATGATGTGGTCGAATTTGCGATCAAATATATTGAGTGTAAAAACATATGGTGTTTTGATGAAAAATTTTTCTGTGATTTGTGGGTTAGCGAAGCGATCATCATCTAAAAATTGGTCTTGGTTAGTTCTGATGATATTATGATCGTAATATTCTAGCGTATATTCGTTAGCTCGGGGTGCAGTGTATGTTTTTAGTGATTTTTTATATCCGATGTAAGTAAATTGTCTATGTGTTAGTGGTGTAGTGAGTCGATATAGCATATCTTGATTTCGTTCTATATCGCTGTGAGTATTAGATAAAGGTAGGCAAAGGGGGTTAGTAAAATGATAATATGATGTCCAATGAAGTGTAGGCATTAAAACTTGTTCATCTACAAAGCTACGTGTATCGTTAGTATCTGTAGGGGTGTTCAAAGTATACTGTGGAAATGAAGGTAAGGTGATTGCTAAAAATTCTTTCGTGTTAGTGTGATTTGGATGATTAATATATTCACGGGCTGTTCCTGGTTTTGTTGGAAATGGATGGTTTGGGAATTTTCTTTTGAAAGTGCGGTAAGCTCTATTAGTGCTAATTGATGATTCGGTGGATGTGGATGATGGTGCTAATGATGCGGTATAAGCTGAAGAGGATGTAGGGGTAGGTGGGTTTGATGATTCTATTGTGGATGAAATCTGATTTATAGTGGGGTTTTCAAGGTGGAAGGGTTGTTGTTGTAGGGTGACAAAATTATCTAGTTCTTGGGAGATTTGGGGAGTATCTGGAGAATTGGGTGATCGGTCTGAATGAAATGAAGAGTAGGTTGGGGTGACTTGTGAAGCATAAGAGGGTGTAGAAATGGATGGGAGTGGGTTATTTGGTGGGATTGGTTGAAAAGGGGGTTTTGAAAAAACTGAGGAGTTGGTTTGAAAATTATTGGATGGAGATGGTTCAGAGTCTGCAAATTCATCAGGGGTTTCAATATTTGGTTGGGAAATCGGGTGGCGGGAAAGCAAAAACTGGAATTATTGTTATTGGAGTGTTGAGGTTGGTTGGATGGAAATTTGAGCGGTGTAGGGATCCAAGTTGTCGGCTCATCGTGGGCTAAAAAAATTTATATTTTGAGACTGAAAAGCGGTGGTATGGGGTTGTTCTATAATTTGTTCATATGTATTTTCATCTAGTGAATGATGTGTCATTATATGTTGAATGGGACTTTGTGATATGGTTGGTCTAAAATTTGGATTATGTGTTATTGCTAAATTTCGAAAATTTCGTGGGACTAGGGATAATGGATGGTTATGTGGTAGGGGTGGTAACTGTGGTGCTGTGGGCGTTATTTCTACATTGTTATGTTCTTCGTCATATGTGTTCTGTCTTGTTGCTATTTTTGTGTTGTATTCTTTTATTTGTGCGTCTAAAAGAATTTTGTTTATTGATGATGAAAAAATTCCAAAAAATCCTGCAAATAGCATGCGTGCTACACTTGCTTGTCTATTTACTTGTGTGTGTATAGCGCATGTATTATAGATTCCTTTTAAAAGTGAAAAAAGAAATCCTATAAAGTTAAACATTGCGTATAAAATAGTTAATTTTTCTAAGATGTAATAGGGCCATCCTAGAAAATCAAGAATTTCATTTTTGAGTGTAACAAAGCTAAAAATATTTATAGGTGAGATATCTTGTGGTCGGTATTTTTCACCGTTTAGATATATATAGTCTTTAATGTCTTTAAAATATCCGCTATAGTCTTGTGTATAAATATCTGCAAATCCTGCGGTTTCGGCAAGTTTGCGTAAGTTTTGGTCAATTGATTGTCTTTGTATAGTGTCCATTTGTGTTAATAATTCTTGGAATTGTTGTGTTCTAATGTGATGTTGGATATCGGATTTTGATTTTATTCCAATTGACTGTAGGTCAATATTTGGGTTTCGAGCAATAGCTCTAATGCTTTCAGGTGAAAATTTTTTGAGTGATTGCATTAATGTGGGATATGGGGTAAGAAGGTAATATTTATCTTCATCAGGGTTCAGTTGTACTACATTGTGGCTATTTTCTGATCCACATGGGACTGCGGTATCCCAGAAATAGGTTCGTCTTGAAAGTGTGTCAACGAAATGTACTTTATTCTTATAAAAGATAGTGATACTTTTTTGGTACAGGTATAGAACCATAAAATGTTTCCCTCATAGTCTAAAAAATTTGATCTATTTCCTGATAGTAAATATCCTGCGTAGGGTATTTTTAATACTGCTAGTGCAAGTGATTGTAGGATTTGTGTCCTTTCTAATTCGCATAGTTGGTGAAGTGTTTCTAATTCAGAGAGTGACATTTCTTGAAAAATTCGGCTAATTGTGTAGTCTAATTTCATATCTAGGTGAATATCGTAGTGGATATTACCGAAATATGTACTATTCATTAGTGATAGTTCTTGTAAACGTGTGCTTCTAGTGTCATGGGGCTTTAGATGTCCACCAGGTTGACCTTTACTTTTTTGAAAATCAACTGGTATATATGATGTTCCTTCGTTTATAGGGTGACTTGTGGCGTGTGGGTCGATTTTTACTTTTCCAGTGGTCATGTCGAATCCTTTTTCGTATTCAACTAATATTTCGGAGTATTGTGTTTTGTGAAGTGGATTTCTGTATTTACATGCAAGTTCTGTTTCTTGATATATTTGAAAACGTGTCAATTTATTTTCTATATTGTGTATGTTTCTAAAATTAGAACTTTGTTTTCGTGATGGATTTACTTGTTCATATGGGATTGATTGTATAAAATATTTTTCGTGAAATTTTATCATACGAG